ACACACACACAGCTGCACACACAGGAACTTGCACATATGGGTGTTTACACACACACACACACACACCTGCACACACAGGAACTTGCACACGAATGTGTTTACACACACACACACACACACACCTGCACACACAGGAACTTGCACACATGCTCTATGCACACACACACACACACACACACACACACACAGACACACACTAAGCTTTGCCCCAAGGTCAGGTGTCTCCATCTGATGTGCTCATTTTGGAAGCTGAGGATTCATTGGGGGGATGTTCCCCTGTTCCCTCTGCCATAGGCGAAGACAGTTTCCCAGGAACCTGAAGTGATCCCAAAAGGTTAGAGCTCAAACATGACTACCCCTGTCCTCACCTGTCCTCTCTCCCAAGGACACTGATGCAAATAACGGTACAAAGATGCTATCCAAGAGCTCCATTCTGAGCTCTTTAAGAAACAAAATAGAAAAACAAAACAAAACAAAACAAAACAAACAAAAAAAAACAGTCTTATCTCTAACTTGCCAGATTTTCTAGGATCAACTCAGTTTGAAGTTTCTCTAGGCATCCTTATTTTCCATTGTAACTTCTTGACTCACTACATCTTCATTTAACTAACAAAACTGAAACGAATTTTGAGTGTCTTTGAGTTTGAGACCAATTTAACCCACAACTGCTGGGAGTACATAGGTGATCACTAGTCACCCTGGCCCCCTCTTGTGGCCACGCCCACTAAAGAAAGGATTATGTCAGCCACAAATCTGCAAGATGAAGAAAGCAATAGTCACTTCCCTTTTCTTTTATTACTTGCTTAGTATTGTGACTTTTGACTCATTTGTTGGGGTGTGTCTAAAGGAAAGATGACAGCAGGACCCGTGTCTCAATCAAATCACAAGGTTACATCGTCCTTAAATCCTGTTATTGGACTGTGGGGGAAACTTTTAAAGGAGAATATATCATTTAAAGGATTTTTAAAGGCCTTTGTTAATTTCCCCTGCATTTATGTTCTAGGATAAGAAATTATATATATTTATATTTACATGTATGAATGTTTATATGAGTTATCTCATCCAGGAGCTGTGCTGGATGAGATCCATTTAAAGGAATGAGATATGCCCCAGCCTCACCATCAAGAAGGGAAGGACCACATAAAGTGGCCAGAGCTGCACACTGTGAACTCAAACGCAGGAGCCGCAAAGAGTGACTAACTCCTGTGTGCTCATGTGTCTGTGCAGAGGAGAGAACGTCTGAGTTGAGCCCTGAAAGACGAAGGGCCTCATGAAACAGTGAAGATGGAGAAAGGGACAGAGACTAAAGCAGAAATCAAAGCTACACCACCGTGTCCAGAGGAAAAGGCTTCCATGGGTGTCAGCAGGAGCCACTGGGGACATGCTGTCCCCTGAGACAGGAAGTCAGAGCTGCCTAAAATCAAGTGATGAGCACGTGATGGCCGCCTATTTCTCTTTCTATCAATATTATGTCTATTTTAGTCAAGTGTAGGGGACAGTGTAAGCCACGCCTGCCAGAAGCTGGCTACAAGTGTACCTGACCACTCCTGTCAGGGTGTGGTCAAGGTGAGGTCAGGATGACGAGGGATAGGGTTTTAAGGGGCTGCAAGGCACATGGGAGCCCCTTCTCTCTGGCCTCCCTGCCTTGTCTGGCACACTCTGGCTTGTGTTTGGCTGGTGTTTATCTAAATAAAGATATCTTGACCTTACAGACTACGGATCATCTCTCGATAGTCAACAGTGACTCTACACATTTTAAATTGATGTAAATATGAACACATCATGGAGAATAATGCCAAGCCCTTCACAAACTTAATCTTTGTGTGAATGGGTCATACAGCCAGTGCCCATGTGGAGGGAGACTTCATGTGGATGGCTTCAAGTTTCCTGTTGTCACAGCTCATCTTACTGTGCGAGCACTGGGATTGCCCTCTGGAGTCTTGGATCTGAACCTGGGTCCTCACACTTGCATGGCAGGTGCCCGTCCCTTCAGCCTACTGCCAACCCTTTACCCCTGAGCCTCCATGCCCTGGTTGCTAGAAGTGGATCAAAAGCGCTGGGCGGAACCTGGTTGCACTTTGACGATGCAGCAAATGAGGTAAGAAGGAACCGGGTACCTGCCAGGTGTTCAGGCCAGAACAGGAATCAGGAATGGCTCGGATTTCTAGTTTTGTCAACAGGACAGGGATGCTACTACCTGGGGAGGAATCTGAAAAGTATCTGAAAGATGGGCTGAAGAGATGGCTCAGAGTCTGTGCCTTGCAATTGTTAGGGCCTGTGTTGGAATCCCCAGGGCCCACACAGAGCTAGGGTGTGCCAGTGCACACCTGCAATCCCAGGGCCCACGCAGAGGCCGGGTGTGCCAGTGCACACCTGCAATCCCAGGGCCCACGCAGAGGCCGGGTGTGCCAGTGCACACCTGCAATCCCAGGGCCCACGCAGAGGCCGGGTGTGCCAGTGCACACCTGCAATCCCAGGGCCCACGCAGAGGCCGGGTGTGCCAGTGCACACCTGCAATCCCAGGGCCCACGCAGAGGCCGGGTGTGCCAGTGCACACCTGCAATCCCAGGGCCCACGCAGAGGCCGGGTGTGCCAGTGCACACCTGTAATCCCAGGGCCCACGCAGAGGCCGGGTGTGCCAGTGCACACCTGTAATCCCAGGGCCCACGCAGAGGCCAAAGAAGAAGACCAAGAACAAGAAGAGGAGGAGGAGGAGGAGGAGGAGGAGGAGCCTGGAGAGGGGAGAGGAGCTCCGGTCTAAGCATCCCAGAGGAGAGGGCCGGTAGTCAGATGAAATGGTCCTTACAATCAATAGGGACCCAAGCTTTCCCTCTGAGACTCGTACTTCTGTCTTGAGTCAAACTCGGTAGGAAATTACTTTGGGGGCGTGAAGGACAACTGGAATGCAGCTTCCGCTCCACACGGCAACTGTACCCGGGTTCTAGGTGCATCCTGCTCCCTACAGTGGAGTCACTGCAGATGGCTGTCCTGGGGCCGCCCACGCGCACCCCGCAGGACGCTGCAGCGGGTGCACCGCCCTGGAAAGACCGAAATCGCCAGAGCTCTCCTGACTGTGGGCAACTGTCGGCTCCCCTGGGGTACGTTGGGTGACGTCACAACACGACAGCCAATTACAAGACTTCTACAAAGAAACTGTTGGAAGCCAATACGGTATTGGTGAGGGGGGTTGTCAATCTCAGCAAAAGAGACCCCCCCCTTAGCAACGGACGCGTCCTAGCAACGCCCGCCGGGCGGCTGTGGCTGGAGATTTCAGATATATTTTTCGGAGCGAGAAGAGTCGAGCTCCCATCTCCAACCCTCAAAGGCGCTTTTCTCCCGGGTACTGCCCAGAGGCTGCCTCCTTTTCCCATTAGTGACTCCAGGTAAGGGTGGTTCCGAATGGAAAAGGAGGCGTGGGAACACTAGGCAGAGAAACCTCCCCAAACGTGCTAGTGGCAGTGAAGTCTACCAAGTAAGCAAGGCTTTTTCCACTGCTCTAGAAACGCTTCCAGCCTAAGCGGTGAGACAAAACAGCCGTGAGAGAGCAGGTAGCGCGGGCGACCTAAGGATGCTGCGAACAGAGAGCAGATCCTGCCTTGTTCTTGCTCTCGCATTGCATTGCCTGGCTCACAGTAGGAGCGCAATAAATTATGCATAAATGAATAAGGGAGTGACGTGGTCCTGGTTACTCATCAACACTCTGGGAGATGAACGTGGGAGGAAGTGGGTCTCTGGGGGGTGGGAGAGGCCTAACCAGGAAGACGACACAGATCGTGAATTCTTTGAAGGAAGCTTTTGTTTCATTCCCTTAGTGACTACTACTATATCTAGGACCTAATTGCTGCTCGGTGCGTGCGTCTCCTCCCTCCTAGCACTGTATGCTGAACGCTAAGCGAATCCACAGCGACCCCTCGGGCAGTGCGGTTGAGGACCGGTGTCAGTCACTGGGATTTGTCAGAATAAGACTGATTCAAGCTGAGTGAGGAAGCAGGCCACCAGGGCAGCGTTATCTTCCCACGCGTGCTTCTAAAATGCAAAATCCACTCTGCAGAAGTTGACCGGACTTGGGAAATTTGCATTTCAAGCGGCGTCGATCTTATACTCCAAGAGAATGTCTTTGTATCGGGAAGTGACCTGACCATTTTATGCATATATAAATAGCATTCACTGTGTAAAATAGGCCGTGAACAGTTGTAGTCGTATCAGTATTATCACCTGTGTGATTGCCCACGCTGCAGCTGTGGGAAGCCCAACGGTGTTTACAATGTTGTTGGGTATTTTAAGCCTAATGAAACTGGAATAGAAAATTCAGAGGGATACACTGATGAGAATGGTGTCCAGGATTTGGATTCATGGTTCTGGAGAATCTGAAAAGCTGGGAGAGCCATTTATCACAAAATACTTCAAAGGTAGAAATTTGAGCCAGTGAGGTGACTCAGTGGGTAAAGGCACCTGCCACCAAGCCTGATGACCTGAGTTTGCAACAAGCAACTTGTCCCCTATCCTCCACGCATATACAAAAAAAAATCAATAAATAAAAGCTAATTTAAATTTGGTTAAGTAGAAAGTTCAGGACTGAGGAAATAAACTTTGCTGGTTAAATGCCACTGCTCTCCATGTCCTCTCATCAGTGACCTGACCCCTCAGGGCTTCATAAAATGAAGATGAAAAAATGACAGCAATAATAACTGAGTAAGATTAAGTTCACAGAAGAGCTGAGGCAGGAGTATCTGAAACTCACCTCCAGTGTGGGTATAGGCAGATAAGGAAATCCTGTCTCAAAAAAAAAAAATCCATTGACTTTAAAATGCACACATAATGCTTCAAACTGCCTGGTGTAAACACTTGTAAGTGTGATTTGTAAATATTACTATTTAAAAATAGGCATACTGGACTTTTGGGGCTCAACATGAAAAGTGCTTGCTGTGCAAGTCTCACAGCCTGAGTTCAATCCCAGAACCCACATGAAGGTGAACGGAGAGAAACGGCTCCACAAAGTTCTCCCTCAACAGCCACACAAGCGCGCACACACATGCACAATAATGATAAATGGTGTTTCAGTGTGTGCAAGAAAGACATTTATAGGCAAGCACACAGACACTGTACTTTGGTCAAGATTCTGTAACGAAGGGACTGGGTAAAAATCAACAAAAACTGACAGTGTTTTAGCCATTGGCTGCAAGATAATGCCCAGCCTGTGTTGTGGATTTTACAATAAAACAAACCTCTCTGAGGTAACAGTCTTAATGACTTGATTTTTTTTTTTACTACTTTTACTGAGCCTTCCTAGTCACCTTCTGAGGTAGATTTTATTATCCCCACTAAACAAAGAAATACACAAAGACTAAGAAGGTCTGTGGTTTTCCAGGACCATTCAGCTAAAAAGTAGAGACTGTCAATCCTGGTGCATAGACCCCTGAAATTGCACGTCTTATGCTGTAGCCCAGGTTGGACTCAAATGCCTGGCAATCCTCCTGCTTCAATCCCCCAAGAGATACGATTACAGGTTGAAAATCACATTTTCAACCCCTTAATAGGATAAGTCTGTCTTGACAGGGATGGCGTCATGGGATGACATTGCCCCATGCCTGTCAAAGCGTCCTGGGATGGCGCAAGTAAGACCTGAATGGTTACATGCTAAGATGGAGTATGACAAATTATACCCAATAAAAATTAAGCACCAATGTGGTGCTGTAGACCTGACTCATCCCATGGACTTTAGGCTCATCCGTGTAGCTGAGACATCTGTGAGCAGGCAAAGGACAAGGCAGCATTGAGCAGCCACAGAGAACGAGACCCCAGTGAAGCAGGGGTAGCGAATTGGTACCTCAGCCAAGGGTGCCACAGGAGCAGGATCTTATCAGCCACGTTGTCGTTGCATTAAAACCTGTAGTCAGAGCACCCGACTAACCCCAAGTTCCTACTGAAAATGCGTTGTCCGCTTAGTCTAGGCCCGAACCTAGAAAACATCATGTTCACGAAGTAAGAATGCCTCCCGCCTGAATGCGTAAACCAGGACTTAATCATGTATCTCTTTTTGTAGCCTACCTCAGAACCATGGCACCAAAAGCACAAAAGAGCCCCAAGGGCCAGAAAAAGGCCCATCGTGGCAAAAAGA